TATCCAGCATACTCATGATGCGCAGAATAAATGAATGACCTTCGTTGAACACTCCAGCAGCCAAGTACGCTGCAATCTCAATAATTTTTAACCCACAATGTAGGTGCTTTGGAGGCGCCATACAGTTGAGTTAAAACTTTCATTCGCATTCTACGTGTAGCCACCCAAGCATCTTTGAAGTAAATCTTCCTTGGATTTTCGTATATTGGCAGGATATGTTTTTGAACATCAGGATGCAGTGGGACAGGATATTCTCACAAAATTTCCACCGATGGCTTGACTTTTTTGTCACTTGCACCAGTATTATGAGAGAGGGGGTCACAATAACTTCGCCAATTCTTCGAATTTGGATTTAAAATTTTGTCAGTATATTCTTCATATGTTGTACTAACATTTTATGCAAAAAAATGCATTTTTTTTAAGGTTGTAAAGGTATTTCCCCCCTTAATGAGAGATTGATATCGGAGATGGTTCACATAAAACGACAAATCCATGGGCTAAACAAACAAAATGACACAGAATCTCTGCCAGAATCATATCTAAACATTATCCAATCTTTTTCCCCCTCTTAACATTGTCCTTTGTCTCCTTCCTGTTATCTTTCCTATTTCTTTGTTTCCTTTTTGTCATAACGTCGAGTACAAATGTTACATCCAATTGTATTATGGCTTACTTTTTATCAAATTTAACTTTGTTTTCAGCTTACGATAAAAGGCGCAGCGTTGGTTTCAAACTTGGAAGACAAAAATAAATAAGAAATGCATACACAAATTTATAACTATGTATTATAAAGCTTTAATAAGAACAATAAGTAAATTAAGTGAACTAAGAAAATATAGTAATATTAACCATTTATAAATCGTTAATGTACTATATAGTACATTTTCTTAGTTCACTTCTGCATTGATAATTTAAACTATAACGTAATGTCAACGTATTATTTATTTGTGAGATTGTAAAATTATGATTATTGTTAATATGTATATAGTTGAGGCGCTATTTCACTACAAATTTATAGTTACTGATACGACTTTTTTCTCTGAGTGTACATTTTTCAGCACTATAAACTGCGTGCCGATTGTTTATTGGCCTTAAATGCAGTCATAAACTGAAGCTGAAAATAATGTCACAAATTAATTTTAAACGTCATGTTAATATTATTTCAGCTTTATAGTTGCATTTAAGTTCGACAAATTATCGGCGTAGTTTATAGCACCGAAAAATATAATTGTTAATATTTTACATATTAAATATTATTAGCAACAAGACCTGTTTCTACAGAAAATATGATTCTTTCTTTCTTTTACCTCCACATATTAATTATACACACATAAAAATAATAATAAATGTTTATGAATATTTATAATAAATATTCTGTGCTGTCTGGGTTATTTTTGACATTTCTAAAATATATGTTTATGTTTGAGACAGAGAGATCGCGGCAACAAATGCCAACCAAAGTCAAAATTTGTTCGCCTGTTCTTTGTGTATGACATGGGCATCGAGATTATTCTAGAATGTTCTAGTCACATCTAGTTATTTACCAACGAGTTTTTTCATGCAACAAGGAGAGCCCATGTCATACACAAAAACATCGTTAGCTAACGGCTCGCAGGTCTAACGACAGACCGCCAGACCGCGCGAGCGCGCCGTGAAAAATTCGCGCCGTCAATAGTGCTCACGCAAGTTTCCTCGCGCATGATCACAAGGCCCCTTTTCGCGACGGAGGCCCGGGCCGGCCAATCGCTCGTGATAAGCGCGGGTCACCTCGAAATTCAATCCTTCGGAGATTCTCATTGGCACCAAAAAAAAAGGTTTTTGTCTTGCCACGCCGATAAAAGGGACGAGAGTCCTCGGCGCCGATCTCTCTTTTTTTCGTAGTCAGTTAGTTTGGTACACTTTGAGTTTACCGTCAAACCGCCGCCGCGTAGTTTGTTGTCGATCACTCTCACTCGTTATCGCGTCGCGTGAATTGTGCCGCTTGAAAAAGGTGAATTTTCTGTCCTGTGTGGCGTAACTCCAGCACCGAATCCTCTCTCTTTCGTGGCGCTCTCGAACATTATTGGTCCTTCGAGCCGGATTCTCTGCCAGCAACGGCGATCTCGGGAGTGCAGCTTTGGAGTTTTTTACCTGAAGAACACAACATTATAACTCACGAAAGAAAGCCATGAGCATGGAGTTAACTACCTTGCTGACCCCCCAAAGCGACATCCATGGTCGCATGGCACGGTCAGTTTCAAACCTGAAAAAGCTGGGCGCCGAAAATATCACTCTTCACGCTGCTGAAACCCGCATTGTCCTCCTCGACCATTTGTGGGCAAAATTCGAGGCTCAGCACGAGCTCATTCGAGCACAGTTCAAGGAAGCTTACGACGAGAGTAAGTACAATACCTCCGGTTTCACGGATTCTGCTGAAAGTTCATACGTGCAGCAGCGCAGCGCTCTCGACGGTTATGTCGTGAAGCTCAAGGGCACCGCGCCAAATTCCGCTCCGAAGCACGACCACGGCAACGAGCTCTCCTCCAAGACGTCACTGCCTCGTTTGAAACTTCGGTCGTTCTCGGGCTCGTTTGAAGATTGGCCGACCTTTCGCGATACCTTCAAGTCCAGTCTGAGACAATCCATCCATTACAAACGTGGAGCGATTCCACTACCTCAAGTCGTGTCTAGAAGGGCCCGCTGAAAAATTAATTCGACCATTAGCTGTGATCGGAGACAACTACCCACGTGCGTGGGCATTGCTCTGCAAGTATTACGAGAATAAAAAGGAGTTAGCGCGCTCCAACTTCTCCACGTTTACCGCCGTGTCGAAGATGAAGAGCGATACTGCGGAAGAGTTGAACCGCATCATTGCAATCACCAGTGTTATGAACGGTCAAGAGAGCATCAGCAGACCAATCCAGTCGCACAGCTTCGACATCCTCAACTACTTCATCATCGAGCTCTTTGATCCTAGGACCCGTCTGGAATGGGAATCATACACGAGTGAGTCCACTGATCCACCAGATCAAGAAACTCTTTTAAGTTTTATCACCAAACGAACACCGCGAAACCGAAAACGAGCAAGGCCACTGGAGATTCTCAGCGAACCGCAAAGGCCCACCACGCGAAACGCAACGTAGAAATCGCAACGTGCGTGTTGTGCAAAGGAAGACAACGTGATGATGTGTGAGAACTTCTGTTCAAAATCTGCGACCGAACGCAAAGCCGTCGCGGAAACACACCGCTTGTGTTTCAATTGCTTAGGGGCGCACCCGATCGCGAAATGCTTATCGATGAAAACGTGTACAACGTACAAAGCCCGACACCACTCACTGCTGCACGACGCTTACGTGCCGCCGAAGTCCGCCGAGGTCACCGCGCTATCCGCTGTGCGCCTTGACAAAAACAAGGCGATCCTCCTCACCACGGCGAGGGTGTCTGTCGCCGACCGCCATGGACATCAGCACACCATCAGAGCCTTGATCGACCAGGGTTCTGAAGTGTCACTCATCTCGGAAGCACTGATGCAACACCTGCGCCTGCCACGATCTCAATCCGCCGTCTCAATCTATGGGATCAACGGCAAGTGCTCCGGACCAAGTAAGGGGAAGGTGACTCTCAAGATCACTTCATTGACGTCAGACACGAGCTTCAACGTCGTGGCTTACATCCTTCCACGCCTCTCGCTGTGTTGAGGTACGAAATCAACAGGCAGAACCGAGTGGCCTCACTTAGAGGGACTCCCGCTAGCGGACCCTCAATTCAGAGCCGACAAGATCGAGCTGCTGTTCGGCACAGAGATATGCGCATTCATTCTCCAGGAAGGTCTCCGAAAGGGAGGCTCGCGCGCTCCCATTGCTCAAAACTCGCTTCTGGGCTGGATTCTATCCGGAGGCTGCGACGGAACGTCTGCGACCAGCAGATACAGCTCCTTGCAGTGTACGGCTGACCGCGACCTGGCCGCGCTGGTCCAGCGTTTCTGGGAACAGGAGAAGGAAATCTCCGCTCCAGTCTCCCTCACGCCGAGCGAACAGCGGTGCGAGGACATCTTCGTGCTTACGGACGCACAGCTGAGGGACGATACATCGTGCGACTGCCTTTCGCCTCTCCGCCCACCGCGCTAGTCGAGACTCGCAAGCCGGCCGAACGCTTGCTCCTCGCCATGGAAAGACGGGGCGTCCTTGATTCCCGTTTCGGAGAGCTCTATCGTGCCTTCCTGTAAGAATACGAGGACTTGGATCACATGGAGCTGACAAGGGACCAGTCAACCTCGAATACGAACAGGTGCTACCTACCGCATCACGAAGTGCTCCGGGAATCAAGCGCCGCCACCAAGCTCAGGGTCGTCTTCAACGGCTCGCAACGCATCAGGTCCGGTGAGTCACTGAATTCCAACTTATTAATTGGCGCCAATTTGCTACCCGCTTTGGCTGACGTGCTGATGCGCTGGCGTTGGCACCGCTGGTAACCGACATCGAGAAGCTGTATCGCCAGATTCTCGTCCATCGGGACGATCGCGATTACCAGCGCATCTGGCGACGGAACAACACCGAGCCCATCCGCGAATACACGTTAAAAACGGTCACGTACGGCCTTGCATGCGCGCCGTTCTTAGCAATCCGAACGCTAAGTCAACTCGCCGACGACGAAGGCCGATTTCCGCAGGGCGCCGCCGCTCTACGCCGCGATTGCTACGTCGATGACATCGTCACCGGAGCTCACACCCTTGCTGACGCGATCACGCTGCAAAAGGAACTTCGCCGCCTTTGTACGGCGGGTTCCCACTAAGGAAATGGGCCGCGAACAGCCGTGAAATACTCGCCGACGTTCCTTCCGAGCACTGTTTCACCTGTGATTCACACTCATGGCAACAGGAGGGCCACGACACTCTGGGGCTCCGCTAGTACCCTGCCGACGACGCGTTCACATTCACGATTCACCCGCGGACCATCACGGACTACACGAAAAAACGCGTTCTCGCGGAGACAGCTCGACTGTTCGACCCACTCGGATGGTTGATGCCCGTCGTGATTCGAGCCAAAATCTTCATTCAAGTAGGTTACGACAGCTGGACTGGGATGCTCCTTTTCCGTCGGAGGAGGCCCAGCGCTGGCAACGTCTCTTCGATGAACTTGCGCTACTCGAGGGCCTCCGTATTCCACGCTAGCAGCGGCGACAGGTACTCTCGATTAGAACTCCATGGTTTCGCCGACGCATCCGAACGCGGATATGCCGCCGCGATTTACTTGCGAATCGCCACCTCGACACAGTCCGGTTGCTCGCAGCGAAGAGCAAGGTCGCATCGATCAAGTCAATCACGGTGCCGATTAGAACTCTGCGCCGCGGCACTACTTGCAAGCATGACAGCTCATGTATGCACTATCATGAGCCTACCGACAGCACCTGTCATCCTCTGGTCAGACTCCAGGGTCACTCTCCAGTGGATCAAGGGCCATGCATCCAAATGGAAGACCTATGTGGCCAACCGCGTGTCGCGCATTCAGGAGCTTCTCCCTGAAGCTCGATGGCGACACGTTCCAGGGAAGGAAAATCCGGCCGACTGCGCCTCCCGAGGAATATCACCAAGTGAGCTCGTCAACCATCCCCTGTGGTGGACTGGTCCTGCCTGGCTGCGCGACGACGTCGCCAACTGGCCGAGCGACTACGAGGAAGCTTCTGCAGAGGACCTGGAGACAAGAGCCGTTGCCATCGTCACCGCCGCTCAGATCGTTACCGAGCCTGAGATGCTTCGCCGGTTCTCTTCACTGCATCGGCTCCTAAGGGTCACCTCCTGGTGTCTTCGCTGGCGCCTTCACCGGGAGAGCGCTGGCGTCTCAACGGCAGCAAACGTGTCACTACCCCCCGACGCACTCGACAACGCACTCCTCCTGTGGCTCCGAGTGGTTCAGGCCATGCACTACCCAGACGAGACGATCGCCGCTAGCAGCAACACCACACCTTCACGTCGAGGTCAGCTGACAGCACTGAATGCATACTCTGACGACCATGGAATTCTTAGAGTCGGAGGACGTCTGAGACACGCAGCACTCTCCGTCGACGAACGACACCCTGTGATACTGCCACCAGAGTCGTGGCTGACTCGCTTGATCGTGGAGTCCTGCCTTCGCACTCTCCATGGAGGAGTCCAGCTGACGTTAGGAATGCTCCGGCTCCACTATTGGATCCCAAGGGGCCGAGCCGTTTTTTTTTCCGCCACAGCCTCCAATGGGCGATCTTCCGCAAGGGCGAGTGACTACAGCACGCCCATTTCTGCGAACCGGCGTAGACTACGCCGGGCCTATTTTCATCCGCGAAGGCAAAAGACGAGGATATCGAGGGCACAAGGCTTTCATCGCTATATTCATCTGTCTCTGCTCCAAGGCCGTCCACATTGAAGTCCTCTCAGATTACACGACAGAGGCTTTCCTAGCGGCACTCCGCCGTTTCACATCACGACGAGGCCTCTGTTCAGACATCTTCTCAGACTGTGGCACGAACTTCACTGGAGCGGACAGACAGCTGCGAGAGATGCTCCGGACCAACGGCCGTCGCATCGCTCACGCCGCCTCTGAAGAAGGAATTCACTGGCACTTCAACCCACCTGCCGCACCGCACTTCGGAGGCCTCTGGGAAGCAGTCGTGAAATCGACGAAGTACCACCTGCGACGAGTCATCGGCGAAACGAAGCTCACGTTCGACGAGATCAGCACTCTCTTGACGCAGGTGGAGGCTTGTCTAAATTCACGGCCTCTGCATGCGCTTTCTGATGATCCAGACGACCTCACGACGCTAACGCCGGGGCACTTTCTCATGGGCGCTCCACTGTTAGCTGTTCCTGAGCCGGAGCTAACCACTCTCTCTAAGCATTCTCTTTCCAGGTGGCAACACATCCAGAGGATGCGCGATCACTTCTGGCAGCGGTGGTCACGCGAGTACCTCTACATACTGACCGCCCGTCTGAAGTGGACTAAGCCGGAGACACCACCACGCGTTGGATCACTTTGCCTGCTTTGGTCCGAAACAAAGCCGCCGTGCAGGTGGCCCTTTGCACGCATCACGAAACTTCATCCTGGCGACGACGGCACGGTCCGTGTGGTGACACTGCGCACAGCCTCCTCTGAGCTCATCCGGCCTCTAGTGAAAATCGTGCTGCTGTCAAGGGAAGTAAACGCAAATACGTCACCCGACAGCGCATAATCTACGTAATCTGCGTATTTACTGTACGAAATATTCTTCTGTACCGCGCTTTTCATTCTCTTTCAATGTACATCTTGCCGTAAATTCACTTCACTCGAAATGTAAAGCGCATCCGACATAATGTTCAGTGATTCCTCTTTACTGTAAAATTGTATCATTCACTTTCACGGTGTAATACACAACAACTTTGTAACAACCTTACTTTATGCTCGGACGTAGCTCGTCGGAAATTTGCGGTCCAGGGCTTAAAGAGG